AATCTTCCAGGGTATATCCCCTAGTTGTGGTAGTATAGATTTAGTCTGGCAAGAGTCTGTCTATGTGGTGTAAGCAATAATATAACTGAATGTGGATGAACTGTTTCCTTGCTGTTCTTGGACTGAGCCTGACATCTTTACTTACAGAAATGAATTTACTTATAGAATCTTTACTTATATTATCATTTAATACTGCTGTCCAATCTCTTTGGAAAAGACAAGCTTATTGGTTTACATTTAGTGGCACAAGTTCTATGATAGAACCACAGCTGCCAGTGGAGGAATTCCTCCTTTGTTCTCCCATACAATCCCCAAGTCTTCTTCAGAGCAGATTTGGGGTGCATGCAATGGCTGCAGTAGGAAGAGAACAAGCAATGCATAAGCATTAAATGCAGTCCACAGTTGATGAATAAGCTGTACTTTTCAAAATGCCAACTGCACAGCTTCTCATATATCCACATACTACTTATTCTACAAATGTTAAAGATGAATATATTAAAAAAGTTACATTATAGAAAAAGTTATGCCAACAAGAAATACTACCTTAAATCTATGTTGTCCAAAGAACTTTAGCATGCTATAACTAGCATATTAAAATAAAGAAGAATTTCTAAGGGATGTAACCCATGTAATATTGTGTGCTGTATTTTAAATTTGTAAAGATAGTACCTTTTTGGATACATACACAATATTACACAAAACAATGTAGATGTGAACCTCAAGATTCTAAATGCAATATGCCCTATCCAATAATTAAAGCACCATCTGCTGGTTAAAACAACAGCAACAAGAAAGGCTTTAGAATTATACCGCATTGCTAACTGTAGCACTGGTTTCCCCATCCCCTAAGGAAATCATGCTGAAGCATTAGTGATAGAACATCACCAACCCCCTAGGACTTGCATCTGTAGGTCAATCACTCTTGGAGGCTCCTGAATAAGTGAACCTTTCTGAGATAGGCTGAAGCTGCTTAGACCCATTAGGAGAGACTGACTTGTGGAGAAACTGGCATTCTGATACGTGCCATTTGAACTGTCATGTCTGGGTACAGTGGAGAAGCTCCTGCAGTGGATATGAATAAAATCTGGCCCATGGCAGAATTCCTAATCATTAATTTATGAGAGCTTGAAACACTACAATAGTGACATAAAATCTGCTGATGTCCTGCACCTACTTATACGAGGAATTATAACCTAAGTATTCTCTATGGAGAAAGGGAAACGAAAACCTCCTTTGAATGAAAGTGACTATACAGCATGGGGCTACTGCCAAGCTGGACCAGAGCATGGCAAGTGATGGGAAGCAAATGAGTTAGCTGTCTAAACATGGTAGGGATCTTATTGACAGTTATTAGAAAGATTTAAAGTAGACAAAACAGTTTACGGTTTTGAACATTGTAAGACTGAGTTTGAAATAGAATTGTGTACAGATGACGAACATGTAATTGCTAAAATGTATAAACTTTTACTGAAATTGGAAACAGAAGAAGTCAAAGAACGTATGATAAAGTGGGCTAAAAAATGTGGTTATAATATACAGATGGAACAATGGGAAAATAAGTGGTTAAAAGGACTGAAATTTATACTATGTTATAATCTTAAAGAGAATTTTTATAAAATTATGTACCATTGGTATATGTCACCAGAGAAACTGTCTAGAATGTATAAAGGCACTTGAGATTTATGTTGGAAATGTGAACAATCATGTCTGGTAGATGTCTAAAAAAAGCTAGAAAATTTTGGATTCAAATACACACATTGATTCAGAGGATTTTAAAGATTAATATATAAATGAGACCAGAGGTTTTTCTTTTGGGATTGATGGACAAACAGTTGGGAAAAAGTAATGGAACTCTGTTTTTGTACATGATAACTGCAATGAGATTACTGTATGCACAAAGATGGAAAGATTCAGCGTTATCCACAATGGAGGAATGGTTGGTGAAGATGATAGAATTTGCTGAGATGGCTAAATTGACTTGATTAGAGAAAAGACAATATCTAAATTATTGCTGACTAGAAACCTCTTATAGACTTTTTGCATAAAACAGAAAAAAATGAACTTATGATTTGTGGTTTTGAAGATTAAACAGGATAGATTATAGAAAGAAGAGACTTATGTTGTAACCATAGAGTAAGAGGTAAATTTATAATTGTACTTATAACTGCTGTAAAGAAGATTGGAAGCCATTTCTTTGTATTTTCTTTTTTTTCCTATTTTTTTCCTTTCTTGCACTTTCAGCTTTCTCTTTGATTTATTTTATTTTTTTTTCCTTACTTTATATTCGTTTGTATTAGTTCTTACCTTGTTTTTTTTTAATTAAAATTATATATATAAAAAAATAAACATGGCAGGGATCAATGCCTCTGTTGCAAGGAAGGATCCTTACTGGCAGCATCCAAAGGTCCTTACCCAATATGCGATGTTCCCTATCCAGTATCTGCCCAGCAAATATTCTCATACAGAAGGTGCATTAGTAGCTCCATAAAAAAACACTCTTAACATGGGAAGTCCTCCTATCTCATGTCATATGCATAAGACTGCTGACAGGCATACATACTCATGAAGAACAAATTGGTAATGCTACTGTAATGTATACTGGGTTTTTTTTTCCTGTTGGTAAAAAAAGTAGCTCCTAGACTAAATATTATTTAAGGACCAGTTCACAGAATCATAAGCCAAACTGTCTTTTCATCTTCATTTGCTCACATTCCATTTTAAAATCATAATTAAATATGGATGCCATGGTTTGGAAACCTATTGTGTTTTGTCTCTCCAATCTTTTAGTTTTTTTTCTTTTACATTATTGTGACTTTGTGTTGGTGTGATGGATTTTGGAATGTTTCATATGACCACAATGGAGAGTTTTGTAATGTTTAGCAAGACTAAATAGGAACACAGGCCTTGCTCCTCATTTTGCAGCTGATGAAATAAAGGGGGCTGAGAAAAGGAATAAAAGTCATAGTAAAATCTAGAAAAATTCAAAGTACCCGGACTCCTGAGAACCTAAACAATTCAAATAGTTTCATAATCCCGCTCACAGTTTGACCACAAATTTAATTTCCACTAGTCAGAGAAATCAGGCATACACAATTGGGTATATACAGTACAGAGCACTGGAGCAGAGATACAAACACGATGCAAACACAAGAGGTAATTAGACAGAATTTCTCCTTTTCTATACCAGTGTTGTGTGCTCTCTCCATTTTTCACCTAATGACAGCAACAAAAGAAAATGTAGAAAAGAATTTATCCTACAGGTTACCATAATATCAGTATTTGATCATTTGACTTACCTCACTGGTGGATTCTTGCTCATGAACATTTCAATGGCTTTTTCATCATCTGGATTTACAGTCATCTCTTCACAGTACTCTTCCTTCTCCATGGCTCCAGCTGCCCCCAGCAATGGCCACTCATCATCCTCTGCATCTGAATCTCCATCCTTTGAGGTAGGCCCTGAAAAAGAAAGGAGAAAATATTTTAGAGGAAGCAACTTCTTTAGATTACAGTAACTCCTTGATTTAAATGACTAAAGTGGGGGAAGGGGTATCTGTTACAGCAGAATGTCCATTAAATCCCAATGGCATTTTATAAATGTCTATCTTACCTGTTAGGTATACATAAATTGGAATGGGATTTTATATGTGTGTATTTTATGCAAATCCACTAAACCACAGTCCATTAAATGGAGGGTTTACTGTACTTATATAATGATTAACTGATCACGTGCCATCAAACTGGTGTCATCTCTTACTGACCACATAGACTGTCTCCATGACAATCTGTCCCTAACCTGGTCTTTCAAGTCTTATATATAATATGATACAATATTATATTATATTATATCATATCATATAAATATATAATAGCAGCAGCTAAAAAATCAGCCATGAACTAGATGCCAAGAAAACAATGTTTCATCAAATTTTCATTTACCCAATCAGATCACTGCCCTGGATAGAGAAAATAAGAGCTGTAGGTAATAGAACTCAAAAAGATTTCACATTTCTAGCATTCAGTGTAAGAAGCTAACCATCCTGTCTACTAAAAATGAAAACTGCCCAGGAATTATGGTCAGATTCCAAAGCTTAACTTCAGCCTCCCTCCAAATGCACGGATCAACTGATGGTGTCTGCATGAAACAAATACTGATTTTGACTACTTTCAGTCGGGGTCAAGACCAGATTTTAGAACCTAGCCAGTTTTGGTTTTCCTGACAGATAATCTCCTATGAGAGAGGCTGGTCCAACTCCTGCTTGATCGCTCAATGCCTTCTGATATTCTTGGTTGGGGATGCTGCAACTGAGAGATTTATCTTGCAAGTTATAAGTAGGCCTTCCCTGCGGTGACTTCCACAATGGCCTCCTGAAGATTTATGCGTTCACCCTGGGTTTCCCTGTGTAAACCTTATGGATTACTTCTTTCGCTAATTTATTGCACTTTATTATTGAGTTTTAATCATTTTTAGTTTTTTCGGTAAACCGCAGCAAAAACGTTCATTAAAAAACACGTGTCTATCCGAACACCTTTGGCTGGACAAGAAAATACTCTGCCCCATCATTCTGCTGCTTTGCTCCAGCCGCAAGCTTACTAGACACACTCACCCAGGACAGTCGTCTTCTTCCGGGGCTCGTGGCTTCTACCGGCGCCGTGCTCGGCCTCCAGCTCCTCTTGCTGGATGCGAGCTTGCTCCAAGATCCGCCGGGAGAGCTTCTCGTCCACATATTCGTCTTCCTCTTCTCCTCCACCGCCGTGCTTCCCGGCCTGGCCCCGTCGCTTGACCCGCGTAACGGGCTTCACGGCATCGCTCTGAGCGATCTGCTCAGCCAAGGGGACGCTCGCCGCCGCCGCCGCCCCGCCGGAGCCTCTCGACCGCCTCGCCTTGGGCATGATCCCCACCGACAGAGCACGCAGCCCGGGAAGAGGAGGGGCCGCCCACGCGCATGCGTTCAACGCGCCTCGCCGGACGCAGAGCTACGGCTGACGAAGAGGTGGATCTTGTCCGAAGGCGGACTGAATGGCGGTCCTGGAGACTTTTTAAAACCTCTCCGAGGGACATCAGTGGCAATTCCTGCTTTTTCTTTGGAACTCGGGTTTTTATTGTTATCTCCACTTGACCGTTTTAAGAATCGCACCGCATGTGTTATTTCAACGCGGATGCGCTGCACTGTCCTCAGGCGTGCGGCTGGACAGGAGCGTGCCTTGCAGTGGCCTTTCGTGTAGCCTTGGGCAGGTCGAGAGTTTCAGATGAAGCTGCATGAAACTCTGCGGTGTACCTTCATTGTAAATTGAAAGTAGGCAGACTTATACGCGATCAGTCCAAAACTCTTGATAATTCCCGCCGCCACTGAAAACAGAAAGTAGCCTTCCGAATCAATCTAAAATTATAAGTTTATATTTGAAACAGTCCACTTGACGAGAGCCGGTAACAAAGCCCTTTCTACGCCTCCAGTACGGCCGTGCTCGCTTCATCAAAGACGCAAATAGCCTAGGTTGTCTTTTGCGCGATCCTTAAGATTGCACTACTGTAATCGAAATTGCCCGAGATATAGTTAAAATAACCGAAATAATACTTTGCGACGCAGAAAGGTAAGCGAAAGACAGCTTAATCCGCACATTAAAGCCGATGTGGGAATCTACCGGTCTCTGAATAGTCTGAAATACAACTCCCAATAGCCCAACCTGAAACGACCAAACTGAGGGATGACGGGAGTTGTAGTTCAACAACCCCCGGGGAGCAACAAATCCTCTTCGCCTGCTTTAAAATGTGCATTCCCCTCACCTCCACTAAAAACAACGGGCGCACGCCACACATCTGGAGGCAAACTGGTGCAGTGCGCTATTACCGCAGACGCAAGCGAGCTCTCCTCTTTATGCGACAACCCTTGCAGCCTTACTGGGGTGCGCTTCTTGTGGAGCTAAGTGGGATTAATTCTGCGTAAACACGCACAAAGAGCGGACGGGGCTTCTTCGGTAGGAGAAATTGCTTCGAACGCCACGAGAACGGTTCGAAACAGGACCGTCCCGGGTCGCTACGTGGTGGTTCGCTTACGCCACTTCCGCTTTGGTTTCTTCTGCGGGAGGCGAGCGCGGGGAAGGCGAGGTGCTGCGCTGGTCTGGTCGGGAGGCTGGTGCGCGCCGCTCCCGGCAACAGTTGCTGCGCGCTCGCGATCCAAGAGGAAGCGAGCCCGAGTCGCGGGCGTTCTTGCTGCAGGAGCTGACCCGGTCGCACGTGGAGGCCGTTGCAAGCATGGGCGTCACTTGGTAGGACGTTTGGAGGGGTCGAAGCTGATACTGTAGTGTAACGCTTTGGCTTGAGCGCTCCCGGTGCGGTAGGGCCAGAGGATGCGTCAGAACAAGGTTGGCGCCTTAACAGAAGAAAGAGGATCTGGAACTGTCGCATGTTTGTGTCTAAACGCTGCCACCGCAGGTAGCAGGAGAGGCCGTAGCATGGCCTGAGTAGCTGCAGACGCTTTTAAGAGGCTTTCCGTGCGGTGGGTGGGGGGAAAGCTGATTTCTTTATCCGCTTGCCGTCAAGGAGGTGCTTATAACGCAGCCGCCTGGCGAGATGCGCTGGACTACAACTCCCATTATCCTCAGCCCGCCTAATTAAAGGAGAAGGTGGGGATCGTTGCCCAACACGTCCGGAGAGCGCCAAGTTGTCGTAGGTCGCGAGGCCGGAGAAGAGACGCAGCTGACGTGGGGGGAAAAATCGCCGAGAGCCGCGCGTTCCCTTGTGTGCGGCTGTTGTGCCATGCTTTTGGCGGCGGCGGCTGATTATTTGCAGCAACGGTTCACCCGTGGCCTTTTGAGTTGCTACAGTAGTGCTACAGCACTGCTGTGAATTCATTCAGTCAGGCGTCCTGAGCCAGCCTTAAAAAACGTGTTCATTGTGGTGGTGATGGATTTCCTGAGTGTTCGGTTTTTTCCCCATGAGCATTTACAGTACATCTGTAAATAGAATCACGAACCTGCATCTGAGCTTATTCTATCAAATCGAAGTTTTATACTATATTTGAACTGAACCACTCCTTGAAGTTACTCCAGTTACAGAGAGAAATAAGTCTTATGTACTAAACATTTGCTTAATATATTTTTACTAAGCTATCTGAATCTAAAATAGCAACAGGAAAAAATAAATGTATCTAATTTTAATTTTAATATAGGATGTTGCTCGAAAGTGAAACCATGAAACTCATAATATACCTTGGGAAGGAGCCTGTTTAATGTTGTCAGGTCCAAACGTGACTTTGTGTAATAATTTATTAGTAAATTGCTTGTAAATGTCTGTGAGATTGTAGGCTTCGTGGTTTTCAGTTTTGTTTAGCACCAAACATAATTATCTTTATTTTTTTTAGAAAAGGATTTGGGCAATGACAGACTCCATGAATATGAGGCTATGCTTTAGATGTCATTTATGTTTAATAGAGTAAAATATTAATAGCTTAAAGTAGGGAGACAAAGACTACAGTCATATGCAGTCTCTGTCAGTTTGCTCTGAGTTGTAATGTGCTATCTGAAGGAATCACAGGTCAAGTTATGGCTTACCTTGTACTTTAATTTTGGTTCCTCATATTGTCAGGAGCTGGATGGGAAGTTAATCTAAAGTGGGGGGTTGAAGTGATTTCATAATGAGGTCTCTCTAGCCACCATATGTCCTCTTCCTCTTCTTCAATTCACTCTCCCACTGATGAAGAAAGGGGGGGACACAAAAAGCATAGCAGTGGCTCTGATCACATTTGGGTCACTGTGGCTTTTTAATACAGTGTGAAACCAGAAAATGTAATTGGCTAGTCACTGCTGGAATACAAGCAAAAATGGCTGCTCACAGGCAAAATAGGATTATCCTGATTTGTCTGTTGTTGGACATAGAATATCTTGCCTATAGTTAGTGCCAGACAATGCTTAGTGAATGTGCTATTGCAATATACAGGCAGTCTTGTTGTCTGATGCAAGGATGGGATATTAATTTAAGAAATTTTGAAGTGTGGTCACTTTCTTTTTTCACACATAACTTTTTATAAGGAGAAAAGTTAACTTGCAGAAAGGAGAGTCTGAATGTTGAAGAATTTCCCTTCCTCCATGTTATACTTAGCACACTTATATAGAATTAAAGAGGACCTGAGTATGGGTGCTCCATTTCTCACACTTTTCTTATTTCCTTGTCTCTTTGTGTGTTATCTTCCATAGTATTAAAATTTAGGTTTCTTAGAGGCAGAGATCTGATTTTGAGGTGTGTGTTTTTTATAGTTAAAACGTCCTATTTTTTTGTGCTAGTGTTTCTCAGATGCCAGTAGCAGAGGGAAAAAGTGTTCAGCAAACAGTTGAAATCTTAACAAGAAAACTGGAGCTACTCGGAGCAGAAAAGCAAGGAACATTTTGTGTAGATTGTGAAACCTACCATACTGCAGCCTCCACAATGGGCAGTCAAGGTGAGCTTCTTTGTCTACAAAAATTGGTCTGTTCAGATCCTTCTAGTACATTTTCATTCTCTAATTGGAAAATGTCAGCATTTAGATGCATTTTAGGAAATAACTCTGTATCCAGCGTTTTCTGTATAGTAACTTTTATCAAATCCATTGTCATGGTGTTAACTTTGTTTGATATGTAGTTTGCTCAATTGGATAAGGAGTAAGGTGACAGTTTATATGTCCTGACCATCCAATCAAACCATTATGCAAATAGTAACTTTTGGACATAAATATAATAATTAATCTTGTCTTCATGCACTGATCATGAACTAATGAGATTATAAGGAAGCATGTTGGAAATCTAGAGCCTCAGTGTGCATATTTTATCATGACACAATGCTGTCCTGTGGGCTGTTCTATTAATTTGGATACTTTAATGAAGTATTAAAGTTTCTGTGTTTTAGTTTTTTGTCTTACCTCAGTCATATGAAGATGGCATACTATTAGCTCTTAGGGGATAGGAAAAGCTAATAGTTTAACAGCAATCTTGGTATCTTACAGCAATGCTGCACATTTCTAGAGCACAAAAACATGCTTGTCTGCTCAAATGCACCCAGTCCCTATCAAGCTTTCTTACTTGGTTGCTGGAAAGGAATTATTTGCTATATATCTTGGAATTGTAGTTGATCACAAACAATGGCAAGATATGGCTGAAAAAAGTCAATCTCAGTTTTAGGCTGCATCAATAGAAGTGTAGTTTCCAAATGACAGGACAGAAGAGTTCCATCCTATTTTACATAGATCAACAGACTTCACCTTGTCTTGCTTATCCAGTTATGGCCACTATACTTCACACATGTTTTTGTTCGGCAGAATCCTTCCTAAAGAAGAGCAGTGAGGTTAATGGGCTGGAAACTAAGTCCTGTGAGGAGAGATTAAGGGAACTGATTAAATATCCCTTGAGAAACAGTGACTGAGGAGGGAGTGTAATACCACTCTTCAGCTATCTGGAAAAATGCCTCAGAGAAGAAGGCCATGATCATGTTAGAGTACAGAAAATGAAATGATCTTAAGTTTCAAAAAGTCAAATTCTCTTTGAATATTAGGAAAAACTTCCAAATGCTAAGAATAACAGTGGAATCAATTACCAGCTCTTCTTCTCTAAAAGCGTTGAAGAAGAATCTAAATAAGCTTTTGTTGGGAATGCTTTAATTTGGATTTCTGGGCAGAGCAGGGATTGAACTCAGTGACCTAACTGTCCCCTTATAACTAGAATGCTATATTTTTAGTGCTTTTCAGAACTACTTATGTTTTTTCATCCTGTTATTTATGTAAACAAATGTGCTTTCCTTTTTGGTACAATTTTGATTTAAAGGTTGCCTTCCAGGTGTTCAGTAGAGCAAACTGAGATAGAGGAATAAATAACCTAATTTTTGTAATATTGAAAACACTGAAATCTTAAAAACACCTATTTAGGGAGTGTTTTCATGGTCTGTGCTAGAATGGATAGGCAGATAGTATTTTAGCTGGTTCTGGGTGCTGGCTGGAAGGAAAGTCATATGACAGGACCAAATATTCTATTTGAACATTCACTTATGTGGCTGGCCACAGAATGTGCTGCTGCTACTCCTGAAAGTTAGCTTTACTTAGGCCTAACCTAAAAGTTCACAGCATAGAAAATCCATTTTTTTTCAAGTCAGCTGGAAGCAAGTTCTATGCTTGTTTGAAAGATACATCTCTTACATATAAGGCTGAAATCCTATCATCTGGAAGTAAAGTCTTATTGCATGAAGTCTCTTCCATGTTTTGTTAACATATCTTCCTTTCCTGTGTTGTATTTTTAAGCCCTGCAGGTATTTATTATGGTTACTATGCAAGGACAATCCCTGTCAGTTTCCATTTTCAGGCACCTTAAAGTAGGCAAAACCATTAGAATTATCAGTGTCAAGAAGACTTCAGTTCCATGCAAAACAGCACTGAAGTGAGTCAAATAAGCAAGAGTTTTCTGAATTGAGTAAAGTAAGTCAATTGCTACTTGAAGATTCTACAATAGAATGGGCAAATGTTCCTCTATGTCAGGATAGTGCTTCTTTTAGCTGAATAATGTTATTACATTTTACTTACATAAGCCATTCAGCAACCAGCACAATTTCTATGGAGAATGAATAACATAATGATTCTGTAATAAAATGAAGTGCTTTGAAAGAGGGACAAAGATGTAACAGATATTACATATTTTCAGGTTTCTAAGATGAAATAGTCTTCTTGAAGTGAAAATCATGCTGTTCTTGTTTCAGGACAGGCTGCCAAACTGATGTACGTGATGCACAATTCCGAATATCCCCTCAGCTGTTTTGCTCTCTTTGAAAATGGCCCATGCCTTATAGCAGATGCCAACTTCGACATCCTTATGGTGAAATTGAAAGGCTTCTTTCAAAACGCCAAAGGGAACAAAATAGAGAGCCGAGGCACTCGGTACCAATACTGTGATTTTTTGGTGAAGGTTGGCACAGTCACCATGGGGCCCAGCGCTCGTGGAATATCTGTTGAGGTAAGGGTGACCTGAAATAAATAAATATAAAATTAACAATCTCCAGCCTGGACTGGAAACGTTGAGCTTTTAATTTTTTCTCAGAGGGTTGTTAAATCCAACATTTGATTAATATCTAGAATAATAATAGAGGTTTTTTATTTGAGGTCATATCCTGAATGTGTCAACAGGCTGCATGTGTAGCCTAATTGGTGGGAGGTGGCCAACAGTATGTTGGTTTACATGATAATCTCTAGATTAGGGATCCTAGCTTGACTAGAACAGCATAAACAAGCTTGGGGTAAAACTGGACTTTGGTAGCCTTATGGCAAACTGGCCAAAATGTTCAAAACTGACCAAGTGTGCCTTAGTATTAGCAGGGAATGCTTAATGTAGCATGGATATGGCTATGGCTGGTAACTTATTTACTAACCTAATTTACTATAAAGTGTTATATAAAACCATGTATTGGCAAAAGTCATCACCAGATTAAGAAAGTTGACCAGGCTAAGAGAAAGTGAAAGGATGTTATAAATGTGAGTGAAGTTGATCTGATCTTGTGGAGTAGAATAGATGAATACACGTATGGAAGTGAAGGTGTATGTTTAATTGTAATGAAAGCTGCCTAGAGTCTAGGATTCAGGTGACTTAAGTCAGTGAATAAATAATAGGGGTGGAGCTAAAATATATGTCAAAAATTATGATTTTTCTGTCATCTAGATAGTTCTGGGTGCATATGAAAATAGAAATCCATAGGTTGGTGATAGTTGAATAGTAATAATGGAAAAACCAGGGGAATGAATAATGGATGAATTTTGAGGAAAAATTGCAACATTCCAAATGAATGGGATCCAAGGGAAAATTTATTTCACTGGGTGACTTGACTGGATGGGTAGAAAAACGAGATGAAAGAGTACAGAAAAAAATATTGGGCCATTTAGATACCCAAGAATGAATGAACTTGTTTAATAAGTATCTGCTTAGAAAAAGCTTTGTTTCAAATACATGATTTAAGTATATTTATGCATCTGCAAAGAAAAGAAATGGATTAAAAAAACATGATCAATTTAATTGTGTATAGTGAAAGATTGAAATAATTATTGAAGGATACAAAGATGATAAGAGATTCTGAATATGGGACAAACCATTCTTTGGTAGCATCAAGAGTGGATCTTGGGAAAAGAAGGACATCGAAGTAGAGGAAAAAGTGAGAGAACTGACTGAAAGTAGAATGACTGCAGGAAGAATAGGTACAAGTCCTGTATGAAAAAGTTAATTTTTCCACAGCATGAATGGAAACTATATGGAAGGATAGAAGATGTAGAAGCTTCTTCAAACAGAGTGAAAAGAATGTTACTGAGTACCACAAGAAGAGAGCAGAGCTATGCTAATAGAAAGCATGAAAAAGAATGCATAGTGGAATGAAGGCTATGGATGCAAAAATGTATATATATATGGTTGCTGGAAAAAAAGGGATGATGGAAAGATATTGTATAATGTGTCTAGATAGAAAAATAACTACAAAGAATGTGGTCAAAGAGCAAGAAACAGTTAAGATCTTAAAAAGCAGAGAAAACAAAGAGAAATTTTGATAGAAATAAAAGCATTGTTTTGGATGTGGGGAAGAAGGTTAAAGGAGGAGCCTCCAGAATTGTTGTTGTTTAGTCGTTAAGTCGTGTCCGACTCTTCGTGACCCCATGAACCATATTGCGCCAGGCCTTCCTGTCCTTCACTGCCTCCCTGAGTTTGCTCAGTTTCATGCTCATTGCTTCAGTGATGCTATCTAACCATCTCATCCTCTGCCGTCCTCTTCTCCTTTTGCCTTCAATCTTTCCCAGCATCAGGGTCTTCTCGTTTCTTGCCCACAGTAGTAGATATAATGGTCACCCGAATTAAATTCACCCATTCCCGTCCATTTCAGTTCGCTGATTCCCAAGATGTCGGTTTCTTGCCCACAGTAGTAGATATAATGGTCACCCGAATTAAATTCACCCATTCCCGTCCATTTCAGTTCGCTGATTCCCAAGATGTCGGTTTCTTGCCCACAGTAGTAGATATAATGGTCACCCGAATTAAATTCACCCATTCCCGTCCATTTCAGTTCGCTGATTCCCAAGATGTCGGTTTCTTGCCCACAGTAGTAGATATAATGGTCACCCGAATTAAATTCACCCATTCCCGTCCATTTCAGTTCGCTGATTCCCAAGATGTCGTCCACAGCTGAACGTCCTTTCGGCTTTGGCCCAGCCGCTTCACTCTTTCTGGAGCTACTTGGAATTGCCCTCCGCTCTTCCCCAGTAGCATATTGGACACCTTCCGACCTGAGGGGCTCATCTTCCGGCGTCATATCTTTTAGCCTTTTAACATTGTCCATGGGGTTTTCTTGGCAAGGATACTGGAGTGGGTTGCCATTTCCTTCTCCAGTGGACCACATTTTGTCAGAACTCTCTGTCATGACCTGTCCGTCTTGGGTGGCCCTGCACGGTATAGCTCATGGCTTCACTGAGTTACGCAAGCCCCTTCGCCACGACAAGGCAGTGATCCATGAAGGGGGCCTCCAGAATGGATGGAACTAAAAATAAAAGTGACAAAATGATTTCAGATGAAACCAAGTGAGGGAATGATGGCAGGGATGTTTTAGAGATTATCATACTTGGGCACATTATGTGAAGACTAGCTGTTTAGAGAAGTCTACAGTATAATCCTGAGAAAGGTGGAAGGAAAAAGAAGAGGATGACCAGCAGCAAGGTGGATAGATTCAATTACAGCAGCGATGGGTGCAACTTTGGACGACCTGAAGGACCAGACTGGGGCGAGATTGTCCTGGAGAAAATCTATCTATGTGGTTGCTAAGTCAGTATTGTAAATCAGTCTACATAAACTATTGAGTGAATAGCTGTGAATAATTCACAGAAAGTAAAATATGTGTTATATCCTCTTGTTTCATGTATTTATGGATAAATGTATAAGGAATGCTGCTGCTGCTGCTGCTGCTGCTAATAGGGATATATTGACTGGGGTCATGTGTATGCTCTTTTGGTTACAAACAGTGCCACGTTGTTACTTGAAAACTAAATGGTTTGTAGTGAGTATTAAATATATTCTATGATGTCATGAGTATGAATCTGAATGTATCAAAGACCAGAGTAGTTATGTTTGACAGGAAAAATGGAGTGAACAATTTTAAGTTATACAATTAGTAAAAAAACACTAGAGCAAGTAGATGAACCTGTGTCTTTTGTTAGAATACTTAGTATAAGATAGGAAACGTGTGGAGAAATTTTAAGATATGTTAGTAGAGAGGTACTGGATAGTATAGGTCTCTTGCAAGGAATGGATGTTTATGAAAGAACTGATGCTTTTTATTATGGTTCTGTAGACGATTTTAAAAACTTACTTGCTGTGAGTCATTTTATAAGATACATATTTGCAATATTTTGAACTTTGCCAGAAAGCCCTGTATTTATTTTAGGAATATACTATTATACCATTGCAATATGCTACATGCCCAAATTTAAATATAACTAGAACTTGAGAACATCTGTGTGAATATTCTTTTTTCCCTCAAGTTTTCTGTCTAATTGTTAGCTATGGCGCTAATGGTGCTTGGTCCATGATTTAAATCTTTCTTTGTTGTTGTCAGGTGGAATATTGTCCATGCGTGGTAGCCACTGACTGTTGGAACCTCGTAATGGAATTCATGCAGAGCTTTATGGGAAGTCATGCCCCCGGAATCCCTTCTGTGTTCAGTAATAAGCATGACAGCATCTACAGTCCAGCTGACACAATAGTTCAATACATGGAACTTTTCAATAAAATTCGCAAGCAGCAGCAGGTACCCGTTGCAGGTATCAGATGAGGAAGGTTTTGGAAAATGTCCTTCAAGCGACCAACCACTTTGTTGAATAGTATGTTCCAACCCAATATTCCAGATGGCAGTTGTTACCCATCAAAGCAGTATGTCTCTGTTGTAAATGTCTTCTTGTTGAAGGATAAATGCTGTCTCATATCAGACTCTCAGGATTGTGTGCCATAGTTACTTTGCCTTTGTTTTAGATTCAGGGAATCTAAGAGTCATGGAAACCAATATCTGCACTATTAAACATAGGCTAAATTTTATGTTAATGAAAGCATGGAATCTGGATGCTCTAAATATTTTAATATTACTTCTATTGAAAAAATTTACCAGTAATCCATAGGTTATGGAAGCATTCTGTTCCAAGAACCCTTGTATAAGCTGATTTTCATGAGCATCAGATTGCATACATCCATGAAAAGGGCAACTGATTTTTGTGCATGCACAAAACTACAACCTTCATTTTTCTTCTTCCTTGCATAACAATTACATGTCATGGCTTATGTAAGCTAGGGAATGCCTGTATTTTTACGTATTATGAATTCTGCAGATGTTATTTCCCTGAAGTTTTACTTGGCCAAAAAATGTAATATGTCTTGTTGAATCAACAGACTCAAGAAAATCCCCTAATTTTAAGTTCTTGGTCTCCCACAACATCTATAAATCTGTGAGACTTTTATCAGATTTGAGTGGTACGATACTAGTACTGAAATTGAAGGCTTTAAATTTTATACCCTCTGATTTTGAAAGTCTGTGTCATAGAAGAAGGAAAGTGTATTCTATGTATTCAAATTCAGTAAGAATGAGACTTTGGCCAAATTATTACAACTTAAAACATTTGTCTAAGATGATGTCTAAAGCTGTACAAAGAATAGATGTGCAGGTTCTCAAATTTATTAAAGATGTTGACTGTAAAATACCCCTCATTGTATTTTTATGTCTGGTAGGGATTATTTGTTGTTTAGTTTGCATTTTGCTCCTGCAAAGCATTTTTGTTAGTTCCCACATGAATATCTTGATCTTCCTAAATTAAAAAGCTACAAAAAACCTCTTTTCTAATTAATTTAGTCCAGATCTTGATGATAATTACCTGTCTCCGTAACTCTCTCCTTACAGTAATCTCTCCATGTACTCTGCTCTGCTTGTATATTCTGATTTTATGCTGTTCTATGCCAGAAAAACAGACTTTGGGTTTCAATAAGAGGCTTAAATAATAATGAAAAAGAACATATTAATATTCAGTACTAGAAATTCCCTTCCTTGTACAGAGATAACCACAGCCTTTAAAAAACACAGTTGCTAATTATCACTTCGACCCCTTGGGTATGTTTTTACTAATGGGAATGGTAGCCATCAATGACATCTAGTAGTACATCTTAAAGATCATTGAAATATATCTGTTCTCTAACCCTAATGTAATCTAGGTAGTAATATCATTAAAAGTTATTTAAGTATTTTTGTTCTGTTAACTAATGTAGTATGGGTAATCATTTTAAAAAAAAAGTTTTACTTCCCTGTTGGAGGGTAGAGGAGAAAATCAGGCATTTCAATATTTATAGAATGGCTAAGCATATGGTTGAGCCAAGCTTCAGCATATAGTTTACCCTAAAGATTACCTTAAATCCAGCATTGGCAGTATCACATCAATTCCTTTTCTAACACACCTAACAACTTAGTTGTGAAAAAAGTATATTCCAGGAACTGATTCTTATTCCTGTCCATATAAATATTCTGGTATGATTTTAAAATGCAAACTGAGCTTTCTGTTTCCTTGCACATAAGAAGCTGTTTAATTTACAGAACTAGAGGGTAAATATATTTGGAAAGAAAGAAAAGATTCAATCTTTCTACTCTAAACAAGTCATAAACATGTAAACTTCATTAGGATTTTATATGGAAACTTTTTATTCAACATGCACCCACATAAATTAAAATTAAATCTGTTGGTAGTCAGAATCTGTATATGATCAAAGTAGCGACTGTTATTTTGTAAGTCTGATTTTGGATTGTAATAACTTTTATTTGTCTATGTATAATAAGCATTGTTCTGCTAAAAGAGTAAATATTTATTTGAAGCTTTGATTTTATGCTCAAACACTGCAGCCATTAATTATATTTGATCTATTAATGTTCTTCTATTGGAAAACATTAAAACTATATGGAAGTAAAAATTATTATCAATATTATTCATTGATTCAAAACAAATGTTGCCCAAATTATTCATGACATATGTTTTTTATTGGTAAGCAACTGTCATTGCTTAAGTCTGTACATCAAAACATTAAAGTACCTAGAAATGTTTCTCAGTATTTTTAGCCTTGTTCATTGGCTATTAGCCCAAAAAGATTTGACAAATTGATTCATAATATGTGCAGAAAATTGTCTGTACTGTAAGTAAATGAGTAATTTTAACATAAGAAAATTGAATCTGATCCATGAACTATATCTAACTTTAATATGTTGTGACTTTTATGGCTGCCAATGAACTGCAGGGAATAAAGACTGAAGGCTCAGGCCTTTGGGTGTTGATATTGTGCCTTTAAAGGAGTTAAATATTTGTTCTAAATTTGTTTACATGGAAGTAAGACATTAAATGTCACAGAGAGTGAAGAATGGGACTTGCGGGTAGATAGAGCTTGGTTTATGTCTTTCCAGCCAGGCTGTCTTTGTAAATAAAAGTCATGATATCCATATTTATCATGACCTGGACTCTAGTTTTGACAATTCGGTATGTAGAAGTATCCAGAGTACTATTTGATTAGATTGTTTTGGATGCGTTTCAGTTTTAAGACATGAGGATATAGACAAGCTTTGTTCAGCTAACTGCCTATTTGATCCTTGGTCCTAATGGCTTATTAGATCTAGTTAGAAGGGGGAGCTTAACTGGGTCAGGAGATTTTTTAAAAGTCCTTCTTACAGTCATTGCATCATCATCAAAGTCTGTAATGTGATGGGGGAGAAATGGACTAGAGTTGTGGTCAGCATCCCCTTTCTGGATAAGCTGTTAAACAAATGGTGGGTGATCAAATCTAGTCAATCTTGGATGAAAGAGGTTTATTATATTTCAGTCAGAGTTAGGCCTGGCTTTAACCACTAAAATTGCTCAGGTCACCAGACTTCTCAGCAGTTTTCAGTACCGTCAGACCATGGTATCCTTTTGGAAAGGTGTGAGTGGAACAGTTTTAGTTATTCTGCTTATACTTATTGATTGGGAAGTTGATGTTCAAATGCAGGGCTCTGTTTTATCGCCCATCTATATAACATCTACATCCATGTTTCTCAATTTTGTGGCAACTTCTAGATGTGTGGACCTCTACTTGCAGAATTCCCCAGCCAGCGTGGCCATTGCTGAGAATTCTAAGCTGAAATCAGTGGCCACGTATCTGACCATGATTGGAAAATACTTACCTATATAACATTGCTGAGCACAGTCCAAGATTTAGAATAAAATGCCATCAGTCTCCTTTCTTGTCATCTGTTCCAGAGGAAGCTTTGAAATACTTAATCAGTGTTTAGTTGTGGTAATAGACTAAATGTAGATCAACAAACTGAAACTTAACTGGACAAGGCAGTTATACTAGTAGATGGTTGGTATGTCCAAGTGGGGTTTGACCTGTTCTGGAAAAGGTTGGGGTGCTTCTAGATTCCCTCAGTCATTACAGGAACAAATATACTCTGTAACACAGAAGACCTTTTAGCATTTATGGTCCTACCTGGATAGAGGTGGTCTCATGTTAATAATCCACACCCTAGTAACTTCCAGTGTGGACTATTGCAGTGCACTATATGTGAGGCTGCTGTTGCAGATGGTCTGGAAATATGATTCTAAAACTTATTGAAACTGGATGCTATTGGTGGAATTCAGCTCTGCATGCATTGTTTTCTAAACCTATGAAGCTGACTACTAATGGCAATAGATACAGAGATAGCTAGCAGAGATACTGTACTTAACTCCCCTTTCATCTTAAAATCTTACATTTTGTATCTATGTATAATGTTCTATTGATTAGAATAATATTCTCAAGACTGTCACTTCCTTCCCCTCTCAGTTCAGTCCCCTTTTTCTTCTGACTCTGACCTGTGCAGGTCAGATTCTCATCTGACTTGTTCTCTCTCCCTGAGAGCACAGTGCAAATTCTTAGCTGTAGATAGACTGAAGGCTTTTCTATCACTGTTATTTCCTAGATCAATGTTTCACAACCTTAACAACTTTAAGATGTGTGGGCTTCAACTCCCAGAATTCCCCAGCCAGCCATGCCCTAGATTAAGTTTATCTTTGTTTTCTTTCACCCAAGGAGCAGACGTCAGAATACTTTCTTACCGAAGTTATACTGATCATTTTAGTTTTCTTCCTATGTTCTTTTAACTGTATCTGCTAACCAGCAAGAGGTTGTGGGCCAAGATGAGAGAGAGATTTAAAGATTAGGAAGAAAAAGGAGGTTTATCTTCTAAAAGAGTGCTTGTTAATCTGCAAACATACAAATTAAGCAGGCTGAATGGATGTGTCTAGCAAGGGGAGCTGATTCTACTGAGATGCTGAACAACAGGAACTAGAGAAGGTGGCTTACTTTTGAATAAAAATGCTGCTGAATACTTTCTGGGTGGCACATGTTTTGGAAGAACAGAGGTTAACCAACTGGGGAGAAGCAAAAACAATGGGATTCAAATAATAACAAATAAATATCTTTAACAGGAAGTGACTTGCTAATTCATATTGAGGACAAACAGCTGAAAAATATGTCAGTTTATCTGAACAGTCTATACATCATAACAAAAAACAGTATTATTTTAAAATCCAAAATTATCTGACTTCCTTAATCATAGCCTTCAGTGTTGCCAAATGAATTAACATTGCCAAATGAATTAACATCACTTTGCTTCCTTATCCTAATAGCACCAGTTAGGAATTTTGCCACTGCTAAAGTCACTTTAGGAATTTGATTACAGAACAGATATTTAATATACAATTGATTTGAATGTCCAGGAAAAGGTGTTAAAATAGGATTATCAGGTCATTATGCAAGCTAAAATAAAAGATACAATAGAGGAATATGCGTTCATTGACTCTACATCCTGGTTATTACAGGAACAACACTCTTGAAGTGGGTAATATGCAGATTAAATGGCAGGGGCTATTCCAGCACAGCAGCATGATCTCTCAGCTGTCTTTAACATTGCAACTATATAACAAAAGCTTTAAGTTGCAAAGAATTATCAGCTCATACGAGTTCATTTCTGGAATTTTAAAGTAACTGGAAAGCCAAAGTGAAATATTACCAGAAACAACTAAAAGAAGCATGCTTCACAGAATATCAGGGGATTATTAATATTCTTTGGATGTAAGAAAACTAAACTGGCTTTGTTTGAAAGAATATAATTTTAGAAAGCAATCAGAAAAATAAGTAAAATTAGAAGCAGTAGCAATTAAATTAGCAGGCAGGAAATATTTCTGGAAAAGCAATTGCCATATGAAAGACTGTTGCCCTGTGAAGAACAGGAAGAGACAAACCCTAAAGTGATGACAAGATGCCTGGAAAAGAAGGGAGGGGGAGCAAAGCCAATCCTGTATTGCCAGACAAAAGATCTGTACCGTAAATCTTAATAACACCCAAGCCAAAAATCAAATTCACTTGTGCACTGGGGCAATATTCTGATATTACAACAGCTCAAACTATTCCACTTAATTAGTGAAAGTTAAGTACCTGTATACTTGCAGTAGACAAACCAAAATGAGGGAAAGGGACCAATTTGATTTGTAAGGCTAATGAGAAATAGATATAAGAAATGCTGATTCATGAAGTGCATTAAAGGCCATACTGTTGGCAAACAGTCTTTCGAGTACAGGAGCAGACGTAAGCCATAGGTGTAAAATTGTTTTCAAGAAAATTACTGCTTGGTTTATCATCAAGATAATGACCTACCAAGTTCAATATATAATAAGAAATTAAACATTATAAACGAGTATTTGCATGAAGACTGTATGAAACTGTGGCATCCAAGATTTTGTCACAGAAATATAGAATATGTCTCAATTCAATAAAAGGCAAATTGACTAAGGAACTGAAGAGAAGACATTGCTAGTTCAAGAAAAAAAAATGTAATGAGAGCCACCTACTGGCCACCTAAGGGAAAACAGTCAAAATGGTGTTAAAATTTATCATTTAAATTTATGCAGACCTTTATAAACTTTGATTCAACGGAAGAACTCTTCAGACATTTATTGATGAATTAATGTTATCACTTGAATTATCTGTATAGCTGTTTTTTCAACATTTTTTTCTTTTTCTGAAGTTTTGCATATGGATAGGAAAAAATGTAACCTTTTACAGTAGTTCAATTCTTGATTTGGTTCAATATGCCAGTATAGCCTAATTTCTTTCACATCTTAGCTACTTTATGTATCATTTAAAAACAAAATATTGGAATTATTTCATAATCCATTTCCCATTTTATGCGGGGGAAAAAAAGCCCTGGGGTAATTTTTTTTAAATTTGTCCTGTTTTCCTGCACAAGCCTCAATATGCCAATTTACAACCAGCCACTCAAGCATTATGTTGCACAATTCCACAAATGTATGTTTATATAGGAAGCAAGAGAATGAGTGCTGAAGCACAGAAAATTCTGAAATTCCTGAGTCTTTTTTCCAATAAAAAACTATGATCATTAAACTTTGCCTCAAGAAGTATTTTTAAATAATCCAAAGAGAAGCTTTGTTATGTTGGTTTGGTATAGCTGCCACAGCATGCTGATACTGTTCATTGTGCTCTGACGTGTTAATATTTTGCCTTCATCAGCCTGAAAGTGCTTCTCCACATATTCCTGGTATTTGTGCCATGAAGCTCTACAGCATTCCTGCTTTGTGTTCCTTGGAGCCATAGCATTTTCTCCAAATAGACACAGGCTTGTATCCAATGGAAATTTTCCTATGGACAGAATAGGATGGGTCTCTCTTTCCAAAGGCAAGTAATTTTATCCTGGACTTTGCTGATCAATGATTCAGGCAATCTAGGTGTATTTATTTATAGCATGTGTCACTTTTGTTCCTCAGTGTTTGTTCTGAATGCCAGACAACACTGCCCAACGCTTAGTACATTCTCAAAATGAAATTCTGTGCCTTCCATCTGTTGACTATGCTGTTAAGTTGTATACGTTGGAATAAAGCTGCTACACT